CCGCACACTCCACTGGCTTCCAGTTGAAGCTCGCATCCGCTACAAGACCATGGTGCTTGCCTATGGAGCAGTGAGGGGAACGGCACCTCTGTACCTTCAGGCTCTGATCAGTCCCTACACCCAAACGAGGGCATTGCGCTCATCCACCTCTGGCCTGCTGGCTCCCCTTCCTCTGCGGAAGCATAGTTCCCGCTCAGCCCAGTCAAAACTGTTCGCTGCTCTGGCACCCCAATGGTGGAACAAGCTCCCTCACGACGCCAGGACAGCGGAGTCACTCACCACCTTCCGGAGACATTTGAAACCCCACCTCTTTAAGGAATACCTGGGATAGGATAAAGGAATCCTTCTACCCCCCCCCCCCCCCAATTGTAAAGTGGTTATCCCACTGGCTATAGGGTGAACGCACCAATTTGTGAGTCGCTCTGGCTAAGAGCGTCTGCTAAATGACGTTAATGTGCCCTTGAGCAAGGCACTTAACCCTAATTGCTCCTGTAAGTCGCTCTGGATAAGAGCGTCTGCTAAATGACTAAAATGTAAATGTAAATGGAGGGGAGGGCAGAGTGGAAGGGGGGGCAGAGTGGAGGGGGGAGGGCAAAGTGGAGGGGGAGGGCAGAGTGGAGGGGGAGGGCAGAGTGGAGGGGGGAGGGCAGAGTGGAGGGGGGAGGGCAGAGTGGAGGGGGAGGGCAGAGTGGAGGGGGAGGGCAGAGTGGAAGGGGGGGCAGAGTGGAGGGGGGAGGGCAGAGTGGAGGAGGAGGGCAGAGTGGAGGGGGAGGGCAGAGTGGAAGGGGGGGCAGAGTGGAGGGGGGAGGGCAAAGTGGAGGGGGAGGGCAGAGTGGAGGGGGGGCAGATTGGGGGGGAGGGCAGAGTAGAGGTGGGGGGGCAGAGTGGAGGGAGGGGAGGGAAGAGTGGAAGGGGGGGCATATTGGGGGGGAGGGCAGAGTAGAGGGGAGGGGGGGCAGAGTGGAGGGGGGGCAGAGTGGAGGGGGGGGGCAGAGTGGAGGGGGGGGCAGAGTGGAGGGGGAGGGCAGAGTGGAGGGGGGGGGGAGGGGGAGGGGGGGGGCAGAGTGGAGAGGGAGGGGGGGAGAAAGAGTTAATAGGTGGGTGGAATAGGGACAGCGAGAGGAGGAAGAAGGAGAGAGAGTGAGGGGTGAGGAGAGACTGACAGTGGGCCAGGTATAGTCCTAGCTAGCCAGGTTAGCTGTATCAACTACCTCCTGTAGTACTCACGGTGATAGAGCCTGAAGCCTGTCCTGCTCCTGATGATCCTTCTCTCTCTCCTGGATCCTCTGCTAGGATCTCCTCTGGGACTCCTCCACCTGCCCCTGATAGCAAACACACTACAATCACCATACAATCACACCAGTGGAGGCTGGTGGGAGGAGCTATAGGAGGGCGGGCCCATTGTAATGTCTGGAATGTAATAAATGGACCGGTATCAAACATATGAAACCACTTGTTTGACTTCGTTCCATTTATTCCATTCCAGCCATTACAATAAGCCCGTCCTCCTATAACTCGTCCCACCAGCCTCCTCTGAATCACACTCTGATCATAGTATGTGTGTGTGTGTGTGTATATGTGTAATAATAATAATTTGGTGGGTGCTTATTTTTGTCCTATTTCACACATGTACAAGTCGGTATCAATCAAGTGCGTGTGTGTGTGTGTGTATGCTTAGGTAGTGGGTGTTAGTTAAAGATGGAATCCCCAGCTTTAATGTTTACCTATAGATAAATCTAGTTTAATCATATCATACTTCCCACTGGGCACAGTCAGTTTGTCTAGTTTTGATTTACATTTGGTTGAGTTGTCAACTACTGTGAATTCAATGTGAAATCAACAAAAAAATTCACCATGTCGTTGGATTTAGTTTAAAGGTGTTTAAAAAAATAAAAAATAATTCCTTACGTTGATGACTTTTTGCAAATCCAATCAGTTTTCCACGTTGATTCAACATCATCACATTGAATTGCTTTTGTTGTTGAAATGACGTGGAAACAACATTGATTCAACCAGTTTTTGCCCCGTGGGTTATTGCTTTATTACAGTACACAACTCATTACTGAACTTAGGACAGTAAAATCATTCTCGACTTGCTCGATGGCTTCTTCTTAGACAATGGTAAAATAATGGCCAGAATAAAATCGTATTGAAACCGCACGCATCTTTAAAATATATATCATGGTATCAAAATATGGATACAGATTGATGCTAAATGTAGTAGTTTCCATGTATTTTACCTGTCTCTCAGTCCTCTCTGTTGATACTGAGACTATCTCATGGCCTTTATGTTCATCCACTGTACACAGATAACAGATACACTGGTGATCGGTACGACAGTAAACCTCCAGCAGTTTGTCATGATGAGAGCAGATCTTCTCCTGTAGTGGTGTGGAAGCTTGGACCAGCTTGTGCTTCTTTCATGGATTACATTTACATTTTAGTAGACACCCTTATCCAGAGCGACTTACAGTTAGTTTTTTTACATCTTACATGTTTTTTTTTCATACTGGCCCCCCGTGGGAATCGAACCCACAACCCTGGCATTGCAAGCGCCATGCTCTACCAACTGAGCTACACGGGACACCAAAAAAGTGTTAAACAAATCAAAATATATTTTATATTTGAGATTCTTCAAATAGTCACCCTTTGCCTTGATGACAGCTTTGCACACTCTTGGCATTCTCTCAACCAGCTTCATGAGGTAGTCACCTGGAATGCATTTCAATTAACAGGTGTGCCTTCTTAAAAGTTAATTTGTGGAATTTCTTTCCTTAATGCGTTTGAGCCAATCAGTTGTGTTGTGACAAGGTAGGGGGGTACGAGTCAAGTTCTTCCACACCGATCTTGTCAAACAATGTCTGTATGGACCTCGCTTTGTGCATGCTCGGCCATGGAAACCCATTTCATGAAGCTCCTGACGAACAGTTAACAACAATGGTGCAAAATTCCAGTCACTCCTTTCCTTGTTGGCACTCAATTGGTCAATTAATGTCATTGATCAGACACTCCTGGTTTTCTATCAATCACACCGCTTTTGCCTGTCTTTATGTGTAGAGCCCAGTTACAGAGGCAAAGGCCTGTGCAAAGAGGTCACACGGATGGTGATCTGCTACGGTACGCACAGAGATATTTCACTACGCCAGAGATTGATATTGATATTTTAGAATGTTTGGAATTTAAAATCTGGTTTTAGAACACTGTGATTGTGCTGCCACAGTAACAGCTGTGCTGTGGTCCATCAGGGGTGACCAAACTGGGGATCCGTAAGTTCGAGGCGAATATCAGTCTGGACAACAAAGTCAGCATGTTCAAAAGGTTCCACTTCCACAAGGTAAGCAGGGTTTTATATGTGGTGTCCATCACATCCGTAACTAGGGAAAACCTTTGTAAAGGACTGCAGTATGTTGGTCATCCTTACTTTAGTTATTCAAAGAGAGATCATGAATTCGAGGGACTTTTCAACACATTTCCTACACCTGTCCATTCCTTTTAAATCCATGGGGGGGGAAGGGGGAGTGTACGGGTGCGCACGTCGATGAGAAGGTGGAGGAACGGAATTGGGCATTGGTAGAAGTTGTCCTTAGGCACAGATCTAGGATCAGCTAACCCGCCCCCAATCCTAACCTTAACCTTTTGGGTAGGGAATGTAAAACAAACCTTAGATTAGTGTTTAGGGGCAACTTTCTCCTATTCTGGCAGGGCACCACCCAAAGACTTCCTCCTGTGTCGGAGCAAGGCATTCTAGGTAGTCGGATACCTAGAACGGTGCGTTTTGATTGGACTAATGATCCCCTGGCCTGTGGCTGCTATAGGCTACATTTTACATTTACATTTTAGTCATTTAGCAGACGGTCCTATCCAGAGCGACTTACAATTAGTGAGTGCATACATTATTTTATTTTTCATACTGGCCCCCTGTGGGAATTGAACCCACAACCCTGGCGTTGCAAACGCCATGCTCTACCAACTGAGCTACATCCCTGCCGGCCATTCCCTCCCTTCCCCTACCCTGGACGACGCTGGGCCAATTGTGCGCCGCCCCATGGGTCTCCCGGTCTCGGCCAGCTACGACAGAGCCTGGATTCGAACCAGGGAACCAGGATCTCTAGTGGCACAGCCTTAGACCACTGCGCCACTCGGGAGGCTACTGTTGAATTGAACTGAAAACGACTGTTTATACATGGTCAGGGAAAACTCCATGCCTCAACTATATTAACTATAATAGTTTATGGTTACTCAGTGGGTCTACAAAGGATTCCCTGAACTCCATTCACGCTCGTTATCTAGACACTAGACTCCACAGCGCAGCAGATTTGATGGTCAGAAACATGGACTGTTCATAAAAGTACCGTTTTCAAACGTGAATGAGTTGAGTTGCATTTTATTTGGATGATTAACCAAGAGCTTATGTAGTGACCTACCTTTTCCAATCAGGTGAATGTCTGAGGTTAAATGAGGAAGACATTTCAGTTGAATGCTCTGTCGTAGCCAGGCTCTGTCGTAGCCGGCCGCGACCGGGAGACCCATGGGGCGGCGCACAATTGGCCCAGCGTCGTCCAGGGTAGGGGAGGGGAGGGAATGGAATGGCCGGCAGGGATGTAGCTCAGTTGGTAGAGCATGGCGTTTGCAACACCAGGGTTGTGGGTTCGATTCCCACGGGGGGCCAGTATGAACAAAATAATAATGTATGCACTCACTAACTGTTAGTCGCTCTGGATAAGAGCGTCTGCTAAATGACTAAAATGAATGCATTCAGTTGTGCAACTGACTAGGTGTCCCCTTTCCCTGTAAAACAAAGACGTATCGTTGCCGTCAAGGTTGTTTGTCAGAGAAAGTGTTTTGTAACTCAAATGTACGGTTAAAAGTGGTAAGAGGTAGATTTTTGATAGATTTTTCCATTGATTAGAAAAGGTTTTCCATTGATTCAATAAACTGAGGCAGGCCACGATGCTCCATTCTCATGTACACGTCTCTGCAAAAACTACAGAGACAATCCTCCAGCTTAAAGGCATTTATTGATGTTGACAGTCCTTGAGCAGAGAAAGCGTTACAAAAAGGAGTGCAGCCAACTTGCCCCAGATGGTAGACACACAGGATTACTCCATATTTACAGCCTCACTGCACATGCTCAGACTGCCCCAACCAACCAAAGATACCATTTATAATATGATTGGCTCAAATTCTGGCCTATACCTGGCTCTGATTGGCAGTTGGACTCTTAAGACTTTGACACAGCACAGACAGGGTCTGTCACTATTGCTCAATCCCAAATCAACCCCTACCTTTTACGCCCTGTGCACCTGTGTAGATATGAAAGGAATGGAAAGGTATATATCGTATCTTTACCTTGCCCTCTGATGGGCAACTTTGAGTTTCCACCATATAGAATACACCTATCCAGACCGTTCAGATCTACAGTGCCTAGAGGGTAGTAGGAGGTAGTAGGGGGTAGTAGAGGGTAGTAGGGCCTGGGGGTTGACTTGGGAGTGTGCACATGAGTCACAGGGCAAGTCTCCAATCACACTCCATTCCCTTTTTAATACTGCACTACTTTGGAATAGAGTCCCATGCTGTAGGGAACTAGGAAGTGAGACTTGTGACGCAGACAGCCACTGGTTAAAAACAGATCATACAAAACAGAGGAAACCAGGAGCGACGAAATTCCATAGGAATTTAAGCTGGTCGTCCATCTTTCTTTTTTTCTCGTCAGTCCTTCCTTCCTCAGTTTTCTAATGTTTCCACGGGTTCCGTTGCCGTGGGAGCGACTCCGAGCGGTTCGAGGAAATGCGGCGCCAGAGAGGTCAGTTTCTGCAGCAGCTCTCTGGCTCTGAAATCCACTTCCTGTACCAGCTCTCTGACCCTCACATCTACTTCCTGTTCCCGGATCCAGGATAAACCGTCGTCCACAGCAATGTTGATTGGTGCGCACACCGCCGCCTCCTTTAGCCCCGTCAGTTGACACACCCCGACAACTCCAGCTAATCCCAGCAGCACCAGGAGGAGGAGCTTGAAAAGCAGGCCAATGAGAGAGCGCCTTCGGGCTTTGGGGGCGGATTCAGCTGCTGCTTTCTTATCTGGGGAGAGAGAGGAGTGACATAAGTGACGTTCGCTGTATAGTCAACACGAGCACTGCACGACTGCATGAAAGACAACCTGGAACGCGCCCATTGCATACCTGCTGCTATCTGTCCATTACGCTTTTTCTTCTCTTCTTTTCTCTTATTCTTCTGTTCCTGGACGGCCAAGGCAGCCACGTGAGCGTTGTACTCCTTCCTCTTCCTCTCCTTCGCCTCTGCCTTCTCTCGTTTACGAGCCTCCCTCTCTTTCGCCTCCCTCTCTCTCTGCTTCGTCTCTTTCTTCTTCTCCAGTTCTAACGCGATAGAAGAAATACAAAATATTAACATAAGCTTTGATATGTTCACTCTGTCATGTGCAATATACACTGTGTACAAAACATGCTCTTTCCAGCTATGATACCTTATTGATGTCACTTGTTAAATACTTCAAATCAGTGTAGACGAAGGGGAGGAGACATGTTAAAAGAAGGATTTTGAAGCCTTGAGACGGATTGTATATGTGTGCCATTCAGAGGGTGAATGGGCAAGACAAAATATTTAAGTGCCCTTGAACAGGGTATGGTAGTAGGAGCCAGGCGCAATGGTTTGTGTCAAGAACTGCAACGCTGCTGGGTTTTTCACACTCAACAGTTTCCCGTGTATCAAGAATGGTCCACCACCCAAAGGACATCCAGCCAACTTGACACAACTGTGGGAAGCATTGGAGTCAATATGGGCCCTGTGGAACGCTTTCAACACCTTGTAGAGTCCATGCCCCGACGAATTGAGGCTGTTCTGAGGGCAGAAAGGGGGCAACTTAATATTAGGAAGGTGTTCTTCATGTTTTGTACACTCAGTGTATTTCTCCCGCTGCTTCCATTAACATGTTTGTGGTCTCGTTCAATGATTGCCCAGTGGGGAATAATAATGTTTATTCAATTTTATCAAATTCCTAGCTATAATCATGGCAAGCTAGATAGTCAGTGATATCAGTTGCTCTGAGCTAACAATGTTAAAAAAGTCTGAAATAACACGAGCGAACCCATAGTGACACGCATGTGGCAGGGACTCCAGACAATCGCGGATTACAAAGGGAAAACCAGCCACATCGTGGACACTAACGTCTTGCTCCTGGACAAGCTTCGCCCGCTTTGAGGATAACACAGTGCCACCGACGCGGGACGCTCCCGAGGACTGTGAGCTCTCATTCTCCGTGGTCGACGTGAGTAAGACATGTTACCTGCGTGTTAACCCTCGCAAGGCTGCTGGCCCAGATGGCAACCCTAGCGGTGTCCTCAGAGCATGCGCAGACCAGCTGGCTGGAGTGTTTACGGACATATTAAATCTCTCCCTGTCCCAGTCTGCTGTCCCCACTTGCTTCAAGATGTCCACTATTGTTCCTGTACCCAAGAACGCAAAGGTAACTGGACCATCGCTCCGTAGCACTCACTTCTGTCATCATGAAGTGCTTTGAGAAGCTAGTTAAGGATCATATCACCTTACGTGACACCCTAGACCCACTGCAATTTGCATACCGCCCCAATAGATCCACGGATTATGCAATCGCCATCGCACTGCACTATTCCATCTGGACAAGAGGAATACCTATGTAAGAATGCTGTTCATTGACTACAGCTCAGCCATCAACACCATAGTACCCTCCAAGCTCATCACTAAGCTCAGGGCCCTGAGGCCTCCCGAATGGCGCAGCGGTCTAAGGCAATGCAACGCTTGAGGCATCACTACAGATCTGGGTTAGATCCCGGGCTGTGTCGCAGCTGACCGCGACTGGGAGACCCATGAAGCGACGCACAATTGGCCCAGCGTCGTCCAGGTTAGGGGAGGGTTTGGCCGGCCGGGATGTACTTGTCCCATCGCGCTCTAGCGACTCCTGTGGCGGGCCGGGCGCATGCACGCTGACACAGTTGCATGTTGTTTCCTCCGACACATTGGTGTGGCTGGCTTCCGGGTTAAGCGAGCAGTGTGTCAAGAAGCAGTGCGACTTGGCAGGTTAGTGTTTCGGAGGACGCGTAGCCCTCAACCTTCACCTCTCCCGAGTCTGTACGGGAGTTGCAGTGATGGGACAATTGGATATCACGAAATTGGGGAGAAAAATGTGTAAAAAGTACTATTATTTTGATTTTTCTTTATTTATTTAATTTTTTAATCGGGGCCCTAGGTCTGAACCCCGACCTGAGCAACTGAGTCCTGCACTTCCTGATGGGCTGCCCCCAGCTGGAGAAGGTATGAAACAACACCTCCACCACCCTGATCCTCAACACAGGGGCGCCACAAGGATGCATGCTCAGCCCCCTCCAGTTGTGCCAGGAAAATAACCTCTCCCTCAACAAAACGAAGGAGCAGATCGTGGACTTCAGGAGGCAGCAAAGGGAGCATGCCCCCATCCACATCGACGGGGCCGCAGTGGAGAAGGTGAAATGCTTCAAGTTCTTCGGCGTACCAATCACTGACAATGGTCCACCCACACAGACAGTGTGGTGAAGAAGGCCTCAGGAGCCTGAAGAAATTCGACTTGGCCCCTAAGACCCTCATAAACTTTTACAGGTGACCAATTGAGAGCATCCTGTCGGGCTGAATCACCGCCTGGTACGGCAACTGCACCGTCCGCAACCGCAGGGCTCCCCAGAGGGCGGTGCAGTCTGCCCAACGCATCACCGGGGGCACACTGCCTGCCCTCCAGGACATCTACAGCACCCGATGTCACAGGAAGGCCAAGAAGATTATCAAGGACCTCAGCCACCCGAGTTCACCCCGCTATCATCCAGAAGGCGGGGTCAGTACAGGTGCATCAAAGCTGGGACCAAGAGACTGAAAAACAGCTTCTATCTCAAGGCCATCACTGTTAAATAGCCATCACTAGCCGGCCTCCACCCAGTACCCTGCCCTGAACTTAGTCACTGTCACTAGCCGGCTACCACCCGGTTACTCAACCCTGCACCTTAGAGGCTGCTGCCCTGTGTAACTGGTCACTTTAATAATGGAACACTGGACACTTTAATCATGTTTATATACTGTTTTACCCACTTTAAATGTATGTACTGTATTCTAGTCAAGGCCTATCCTATCTAACTACTGCTGTACATATACTATTCTATCCACATATTTACATTTACGTCATTTAGCAGACGCTCTTATCCAGAGCGACTTACAAATTGGTGCATTCACCCTATAGCCAGTGGGATAACCACTTCACAATATTTTATTTTATTATTTTTTTAAAATTTTTTTAGGGGGGGGGGGGGGGGGGGTAGAAGGATTACTTTATCCTATCCCAGGTATTCCTTAAAGAGGTGGGGTTTCAAATGTCTCCGGAAGGTCGTGAGGGAGCTTGTTCCACCATTGGGGTGCCAGAGCAGCGAACAGTTTTGACTGGGCTGAGCGGGAACTATGCTTCCGCAGAGGAAGGGGAGCCAGCAGGCCAGAGGTGGATGAACGCAATGCCCTCGTTTGGGTGTAGGGACTGATCAGAGCCTGAAGGTACGGAGGTGCCGTTCCCCTCACAGCTCCATAGGCAAGCACCATGGTCTTGTAACAGATGCGAGCTTCAACTGGAAGCCAGTGGAGTGTGCGGAGGAGCGGGGTGACGTGAGAGAACTTGGGAAGGTTGAACACCAGACGGGCTGCGGCATTCTGGATGAGTTGTAGGGGTTTAATGGCACAGGCAGGGAGCCCAGCCAACAGCGAGTTGCAGTAATCCAGACGGGAGATGACAAGTGCCTGGATTAGGACCTGTGCCGCTTCCTGTGTAAGGCAGGGTCATATTCTTCCTTTAGTAGTGGTTTCTTTGCAGCAATTCGACCATGAATGCCTGATTCACACAGTCCCCTCTTTCAAAGTTCTTCTCCTTTTTAAAGTAATGATGGACTGTCGTTTCTCTTTGATTATTTGAGCTGTTCATGACATAAAATGGACTTGGTCTTTTACCAAATAAGGCTATCTTCTGTGTACCCCCCCCCTACCTTGTCACAACACAACTGATTGGCCCAAACGCATTAAGAATGAAAGAAATTCCACAAATTAACAAGGCACACCTGTTAATTGAAATGCATTCCAGGTGACTACCACATGAAGCTGGTTGAGAGAATGCCAATAGTGTGCAACACTGTCATCAAGGCAAAGGATGGCTACTTTGAAGAATCTCAAATATAAAATATATTTTGATTTGTTTAACACTTCTTTGGTTACTACATGAGTCCATATTTTTTATTTATTAGTTTTGTCTTCACTATTATTCTACAATGTAAAAAATAGTAAAAATAAGGAAAAACCCTGAAATGAGTAGGTGTGTCCAAACTTTTGACTGGTACTGTACATATTTATACTCCGGACTACGACATTGCTCGTATATATACATATTTATAATCCGGACTACGACATAGCTCGTCCTAATATTTATATATTTCTTAATTCCATTATTTTACTTTTAGATGCGTGTATTTCTGTGTATTGTTAGATATTACTGCACTGTTGGAGCTAGGAACACAAGCATTTCACTACACCCGCAATAACATCTGCTAAATATGTGTATGCGACCAATAACATTTTATTTGATCGCTTCTAGCAATCCTAGGTTATGTCCCAAACGGCACCCTTTTCCCCATATAGTGCACTACTTTTGATTAGAGCCCTATGCTTTGGTCAAAAGTACTGCACTACATAGGGAAAAGGGTGCCATGTTGGACACAGCCCCAGGCAGAGCCCCAGGCAGAGCCCGTTGACTGACCACTGGCACCTGCATTGTAGTACCTACCTTTGTCCTTTAGGAGGCGCCGCTCCCTCTCTTTGTCTACCTCGTCCTGAAGGATCCTCATGAGCTGGAGCACCTACAATCACATTGTAGTTGAAACGACATGCTAGAACCAAACAAACCTCTAGTCTATCCCAACGTTTGCTTCCTCCCCCTCTCCTCCCTTAATTTCTATTTGTATCTCTACTTCCCTTCACCACCTCCTTTATTCATCCCCCTCTTTCCTCCCTCCCTCTGCTCCTTTAACAATGAAGAAGCTTTTATCATCAACTTCCATTGTCCTCCAAGAGTTGCTGAATCTCCTCAACTTCTCTCTGCCTACCTTCTCATCTCTCCCTCCCAGTCTTACCCTGGCAGCACATTGTTTACACTGTTTCTCATCCAGACAGTCTCCTGCAGCCTTGGCCAGGTTGATTTCCAGAGGGTTGTCCTTCAGATCCAGCCACTTCAGGTTCTGTACACACGCACGCACGCACACACACAGAAAAAAAGAAGCCTGTTGAGACTGTGTAAAATGTTGAATGTCTTCAACCTCCATCCATATGCCACTGTGGTCAAAGATAGCTGGCTTATTGTAGAGTTCACTGTGTAGTCTTGGTGATGAAAGGCACAAATGACTTAAGTGTTTTTAAAACTGTTTGTAATTAACTGTCTAACAATAGAATTTTCAGATTGTCGTGAAAGGTTATGGATTGGTTGATTACAGTTAGCTTTTCCTACTGTTGATGGTCGGATTCAAAGTTTATTCCCAGCTAATTCACAGGGATTTACAATTTTTTCTGATTAATATCTGTGTCCACCAAAAATAAATTAAGTAACAGTAAATATTACTAATATATATATATATATATAATAGAATTAAGCAGATAACCATATTAATGAATAATAGTGGTAAAAATTGGACTTTTGGGACCCGGGGGTGAATAAATTTTTCATTCCGCGCACCATTTGAAGCTTTTATAGCTTCTCGGAACACTATGCCCCTCTGGCATCTATTACATGAGAAGTATCATCACTAACTCATTTTGCAAAGTCAGCAGTATTTCCACACACACGCATTAAGCCCACATTTGTGGGCTTATTGTGTGGTGCCAGGATAACAACCTCTCCCTCAACGTGACCAAGACAAAGGAGAGGATCATGGACTACAGGGAATAAAAAGAGGACTGAGCACGCCCCCATTCTCATCTACGGGGCTGTAGTGGAACAGGTTGAGAGCTTCAAGTTCCTTGGTGTCCACATCACCAACAAACTATCATGGTCCAAACACACCAAGACAGTCGTGAAGAGGGCACGACAAAGCCCATTCCCCCTCAGGAGACTGAAAAGATGTTGCATGGGTCCTCAGATCCTCAAAAAGTTCTACAGCTGCACCATCGAGAGCATCCTGACTGCATCACCGCCTGGTATGGCAACTGCTTGGCCTCCGACCGCAAGGCACTACAGAGGGTAGTGCGTACGGCCCAGTACATCACTGGGGCCAAGCTTCCTGCCATCCAGGACCTCTATACCAGGCGATGTCAGAGGAAGGCCATACAAATTATCAAAGACTACAGCCACCCTAGTCATAGACTGTTCTCTCTGCTACCGCACGGCAAGCGGTACCGGAGCGCCAAGTCTAGGTCCAAAAGGCTTCTTAACAGCTTCTATCCCCAAGCCATAAGACTCCTGAACAGCTAATCATGGCTACCCAGACTTTTTGCATTGCCCCCACACCCCACCCTACCCCAACCCCCTCTTTTACGCTGCTGCTACTCTGTTTATTATCTATGCATAGTCACTTTAACTCTACCCACATGTACATATTACCTCGACTAACCGGTGCCCCCGCACATTGACTCTGTACCGGTACCCCCTGTATATAACCTCCCTACTGTTATTTTATTGCTGCTCTTTAATTATTTGCTTTTTTTTTTTTTTTATCTTAAACTGCATTGTTGGTTAAGTAAGCATTTCACTGTAATGTCTACACCTGTTGTATTTGGTGCATGTGGAAAATAACATTTGATTTACTTTTAATAAATTAACTCTAGTTCCTGGTCCAATTTATTTCCAGCAGAATGGCATCAGTGAACATGGCCCTCATATTGTGCTGTAGTTTGCCTGCTTGAACTACTGCTCTAGAAGAGCTTGGTGAGGGGAACTAACTACTATACCCGGGCAGATCTTGACCAGCAACATACCACCCTGCATCCCACTGCTGGCTTGCCTCTGAAGCTAAGCAGGGTTGGTCCTGGATGAGAGACCAGCTGCTGCTGGAAGTGGTGTTGGAGGGGGCCAGTAGGAGGCAATCTTTTCTCTGGTCTAAAAACATATCCCAATGCCCCAGGGCAGTGATTGGGGACATTGCCATGTGTAAGGTGCTGTCTTTCGGATGGTACATTAAATGGGTGTCCTGACTCTCTGTGGTCACTAAAGATCTCATGGCACTTATCGTAAGAGTAGGGGTGTTAACCCTGGTGTCCTGGCTAATTTCCCAATCTGGCCCTCATACCATCATGGCCACCTAATCATCCCCAGCTTCCGGATGGCTCATTCCGCTCCCCTGTAACTATTCCCCAGGTCGTTGAGAATGTGTTCTCAGTCAACTTACCTGGTAAAATACGGGTACAAAATAACATGGGTGCCAATGGTGAAACATGCTTCCCTCTTTAAACATGCTAATCCCTTTGTTTTCTAATTAAATAGAGGGCAAGTCATTGTCTGGTTAATGACTTCAGTGATTAGATATGGTTAAGTATCGTGAGGTCCCTGGCAATTCCCACTTCTAGTGTGTGTGTGTATTACCTACCTTGAGCTGTGAGAAGCTGACAGGCAGAATTGTCAGCTTGTTGTTGTACAGGTCCAGGTGTTGCAGGTTGCCAAGGCGACCCAGATCATCAGGTAGAACGGTCAGTTGGTTCTTACTGAGGTCCACCTTGACCAGGTGACTGAGGCTGCAGAACTCCAGCTGGACACACCCACACACACAGTTATGTACAGTCTGTAATACTCATCTCTCTGTGGCGTCTATGATCCATACAGGAGACAGTGGGATGTCTGCGCGAGTTCAACGCTCGGAGGAAACTCAAGGTACACTAGTGCTGTTAACCCCTACACCCCTCTCCTCTACCCATACACCTCTCCTGTTAATACATTGTAGTACAACTCCTTGACCATCCGGCTGGGTTGCTACCATACATTAGTCTTTAAACGAATATCTACTTTAAAATACATTAGCCACTTGTCTTCAGAGGAGAGCAACATTGTGAGCAGGCTTTGAAGTCCAGCGCTAACACAACTGACCGAACTGAAGATTGTGGTGACCAGTGTTTGGCTTTGGGGCTGGGTTCATTCAAGGTTACTCACAGGCAGGGAGGTGATGTTGTTGCAGGACAGATCCAGGACTGTGACTTTAGGGAAGCCAGCCTGAAAGCACACACATAACAGTATGATAACAAGACTACTGCCTATAATACATGGCTTTATAAAGGTAATGTGGTGTGAGTGTGCCATTGTTGACCTACCAGTTCTTTAACAGGAACTTCAGTGAGGTTACAGAGGCTCAGATCCATCTCGTTGCCATCGATTTTGTCCTTCAGATTCAACACCTTGTTTTTACTCATCCTGAGTTTTGGGTGGGGGGCTGGGAGAAAATACAAATGATTGTGAAAACAGAAACTTTCAAACATAGCTATTCTATTATCTGTAGCCTATCTAGCCAAAAAGTTTGTGAGGAAGCATAAAGTAGCTAGCTAACGTAAGATACGTTGCAATCACTTCGTAGCTAAGATGACTAAAGTTACACTTTCTCTTCTAGCGTGCTACAGTTTCTACGTTGACAGCTAACGTAGTGACAGCGCAGCAAAGTAACCTTTTCTTGGTACAGACTACAGTAACGTTAGTGAAAGTACTCACCTGTTTCACTGAGAAATCACCGCCGTTTTCTATAGGTTTTCACGCGTCTCAAACCTTCTATTCCTAGGAATAAATACTACAAGAATGTCTACTTTAAAATCAGTTCGCAAAATAGTCGTAGAATGTGATTAAATCGCTGACAAATCTCGTGTGGAGGTATTGAGGCTGCAGTTAATGGTTACAATGAAAGTCCACGTCATTGATAGAACCGTCCAGTTGGGCCAATGACGCGACATTTCAGAGCATATCGCCACCTACAGCTTGGAGGAGCAACTGGCAAGTCACACACACACAGTGGAAGGTCTTTCAGTTCTTTCTTTATTGCTGTTCAGTATAGTCTACAATACAATTATTTAGTTTCAATAACATTACATTACATTTTAGTCATTTAGCAGACGCTCTTATCCAGAGCGACTTACAGTTAGTGCATACATTATTATTTATTTTTTCATACCCCCTGTGGGAATCAATAACACATTAAGACATGAAAAGCATTCACAGTTTACAGTGCATTCGGAAAGTATTCAGACCCCTTAACTTATTCCACATTTTGTTACGTTACAGACTTATTCTAAAATGGATTAAATTAAAAACAGAAATATAACATTTACATAAGTATTCAGACCCTTCACTCAGTACTTTGTTGAAGCACCTTCGGCAGGGATTACAGCCTCGAATCTTCTTAGGTATGACACTACAAGCTCGGCACACCTGTATTTGGGGAGTTTCTCCCATTCTTCTCTGCAGATCCTCTCAAGCTCTGTCAGGTTGAATGGGGAGCGTCGCTGCACAGCTATTTTCAGGTCTCTCCAGAGATGTTTGATCGGGTTCAAGTCCAGGCTCTGGCTGGGCCACTCAGAGACTTGTCCCGAGGCCACTCCTGCATTGTCTTGGCTGTGTGCTTAGGGTCATTGTCTTGTTGGAAGGTGAACCTTCACCTCAGTCTGAGGTCCTGAGCACTATGGAGCAGGTTTTCATCAAGGATCTCTCTGTACTTTGCTCTGTTAATCTTTCCCTCGATACTGACTAGTCTTCCAGTCCCTGCCGCTGAAAACATCCCCACAGCATGATGCTGCCACCACGCTTCACTGTAGGGATGGTGCCAGGTTTCCTCCAGCCGTGAAGCTTGGCATTCAGGCCAAAGAGCTCAATCTTGACTTCATCAGACCAGATAATCTTGTTTCTCATGGTCTGAGTCTTTTAGGTGCCTTTTGGCAAACTCCCAGCAGGCTGTCATGTGCCTTTTACTGAGGAGTGGCTTCCGTCTGGCCACTCTACCATAAAGGCCTGATTGGTGGAGTGCTGCAGAGATGGTTGTCCTTCTGGAAGGTTCTCCCATCTCCACAGAGGAACTCTGGAGCTCTGTCAGAGTGACCATCAGGTTCTTGGTCACCTCCCTGACTAAGGCCCTTCTCCCCCAATTGCTCAGTTTGGCCGGGCGGCCAGCTCTAGGAAGAGTCTTGGTGTTTCCAAACTTCTTCCATTTAAGAATGATGGAGGCCACTGTGTTCTTGGGGACCTTCAATACTGCAGACATTTTTTGGTACCCTTCCCCAGATCTGTGCCTCGATACAATCCTGTTTCGGAGCTCTACAGACAATTCCTTCGACCTCATGGCTTGGTTTTTGCTCTGACATGCATTGTCAACTGTGGGATCTTATATAGACAGGTGTGTGCCTTTCCAAATCATGTCCAATCAATTGAATTTACCACAGGTGGACTCCAATCAAGTTGTAGAAACATCTCAAGGATGATCAATGGAAACAGGATGCACCTGAGCTTAATTTCAAGTCTCATAGCAAAGGGTCTGAATACTTATGTATATTTCTGTTTTTTATTTTTAATACATTTGCAAACAGTTCTAAAAACCTGTTTTCGCTTTGTCATTATTGGGTATTGTGTGTAAATTGATTAGGACATTTTTTAAATCAATTTTAGAATAAGGCTGAATGTGGAAAAAGTGAAGGGGTCTGAATATTTTCCGAATGCACTGTATATGACAAATAATTGTCTAAACATTGACAATGATTCATATTTGTTCATATTTAAGTGACATTTGCATTACATTTGGGTTTTAAAGCATGTTCCAAGGTCAAATAAATGCCCCTAATGCGAATCACTGTATATGGAATACATATTGGCTTAGAGCAAGAACTATTCTGGGTGCCGCAGTAAAAATATTGTAGGGAATATTCAGTAGGGTCTGTAGAATGTATATATGGTGTCATTTCATGAGGCTCTGAATAATACGGAGTGTTGCTGGCCTTTTTACGCCACCCATTCAATTGGCTGCCAAATCACATCACATGTGCCTTACTGCACTACAGAAAACCCACTAACCAAACAACAGTGCAGGGCATGCTCCTGAGTGGCGCAGTGGTCTAAGGCACTGCATCGCAGTGCTAACTGTGCCACTAGAGATCCTGGTTCGAATCCAGGCTCTGTCGCAGCCGGCCGCGACCGGGAGACTCATGGGCGGCGCACAATTGGCCCAGCGTCGTCCAGGGTAGGGGAGGGAATGGCCGGCAGGGATGTAGCTCAGTTGATAGAGCATGGCGTTTGCAACGCCAGGGTTGTGGGTTCGATTCCCACGGGGGGCCAGTATAAAAAAATATGTATTCACTAACTGTAAGTCGCTCTGGATAAGAGCGTCTGCTAAATGACAAACAAAAAAAAGCTCACTAAATTAAAGGGCAACTACACTCAAAAATCAAAGTTTCTTATATTTTTCCCAGACCTCAAAAGTAATCCCCTGATGTCGTTTAAGCATTGTTGTGAACACAGAAAATCAAATTGTGTTGTTTTTATAATTCTTTTTTGTTGTTGAATAAACTGGGGTAAATCAGAGACCTGGAAAAACAGAACCAAGAAAACTGATTTTAAAAAGGCCCTATCAACGTATTTTGCTGTGCATGACTACCCTTTAGAGCAGGGGTGTCAAACTAATTTTAGCTCAGGGGCCACATGGAGGAAAATCTATTCCCAAGTGGGCCGGACCGGAAAAATCATGGTATATATAACTTAAAAACAACAACTTCAGATTGTTTTCTTTGTTTTAATATGATCAACATACAACATAAAGCTGGAGCCTGAGGACAGTGTGTCCAAAATAGTACAAGCACAACATCACTATTAATCATAAAACACGTCAAGTTTATTTGAAAATTCTAAAGAAAAAGAACAGACAAACACACAATGCCTCAGTGATTAACAGAACTGTTTCACAGATCACAGAACTATATCAGGGGTGTCATTTCTCAGGCAGAAATGTAGATAAAAATAATGAAATCCTGTTCCCCAAACAAGTGCAAGAACCACAGAGTCAAGAATAGGTTAAATATACAAATAAAATAAAATCAATTAAAAACAATAGCACATCAACATAAAAACATATAAACATAAAGCTGGAGCCTGAGGACAGTGTCCAAAAGCACAACATCACTATTAATCATAAAACACCTCAAGTTATTTGAAAGTTCTGAGGACAAAGAACACACAAACACACAATGCCTCAGTGATTCACAGAAGTATATCACAGATCACAGAACTATATCAGGGTGTCATTTCTCAGGCAGAAATGTAGATAAAAATAATGAAATCCTGTTCCCCAAACAAGTGCAAGAACCACAGAGTCAAGAATAGGTTAAATATACAAATAAAATCAATTAAAAACAATAGCACATCAACATAAAAACATAAACATAAATCTGAAAGCGTTGCTCAAACTCCCGTAACAGTCCCGTTATTTTATCTTTGAACCGCTTCATGTCTGCCACATGTTGGGTCGCGAACACACTGACAGCGCGGGACCAGTCCACTCCGACCCTGTCCAGCGCGCCGACCAGTCCACTCCGACCCTGTCCAGCGCGCCGACCAGTCCACTCCGACCCTGTCCAGCACGCCGACCAGTCCACTCCGACCCTGTCCAGCGCGCCGACCAGTCCACTCCGACCCTGTCCAGCGCGCCGACCAGTCCACTCCGACCCTGTCCAGCGCGCCGACCAGTCCACTCCGACCCTGTCCAGCACGCCGACCAGTCCACTCCGACCCTGTCCAGCGCGCCGACCAGTCCACTCCGACCCTGTCCAGCGCGCCGACCAGTCCACTCCGACCCTGTCCAGCGCGCCGACCAGTCCACTCCGACCCTGTCCAGCACGCCGACCAGTCCACTCCGACCCTGTCCAGCGCGCCGACCAGTCCACTCCGACCCTGTCCAGCGCGCCGACCAGTCCACTCCGACCCTGTCCAGCGCGCCGACCAGTCCACTCCGACCCTGTCCAGCGCGCCGACCAGTCCACTCCGACCCTGTCCAGCGCGCCGACGAGTGCGGTAAAAATATCAGCTGCTGTCGTTGTATCTGTCATCGGCACCAACTCCACGAACTCCTCGGTGACGGTCAATGTGTCATCAACTCCGCGGATGAAAATGGCCAGTTGTGCAACATCTGTAATGTCCGTGCTTTCATCAATTGCAACCGAAAACGCAATAAATGACTTTACTTTTTGCTTCAACTGGCTGTCCAAATCCACTAAAAGATCGGAAATCCTGTCTGCAACTGTGTTTCTTGTCAGGCTGATATTTGCAAAAGCCTGCCGCTTTTCAGGGCACACAATCTCCGCTGCCTTCATCATGCATGTTTTTACAAATTCACCCTCACTAAATGGTTTTGAAGCCACTGCGATTTCATTAGCAATGAGGTAGCTAGCTTTCACTGCAGCGTCACTGATGTCTCGGCTGTGAGTAAACACAGACTGCTGTTTCTTCAGACCCACCAACAGTTCATTCACCTTCTCTCATCTCCGCTGTCCTTGAAAGTTGTCATATTTGTCGGCATGAAGACTCACATAGTGGCGACGAAGGTTATATTCTTTCAGCACTGCAACATGCTCTGAACACACCAAACATACAGCTTTCCCATTCAATTCCGTGAATAAATAGGATGACCATTTTTCTTGGAACACTCTGCACTCTGCGTCCACTTTTCTCTTTTTTGACAGAGACATATTGGGGCAATGAGGGTGCCAAAGCACATAATGTTAAAAGTAGAAGCCGTAATAAATATTGCGGGCAAAACAAAGTAGCTCATTGGCTGCACGTGCTTGACCTACTTGCTCTGCCCCGTTATAAACAATTTGCTTGCTTAACACAATTGCTATTGCGCCATCCAGTGGACGCAATTGGAACAGCAGTTTA